CTTCAAAAAGTTGAAAATAGAGCTACCATATGATCCAGCAATTGTACTACTGGGTATTTACCCCAAAGATACAAATGTAAGGATCCGAGGGGATACGTGAACCCCAATGTTTACAGCAGCAATGTCCACAATAGCCAAACTGTGGAAAGAGCCGAGATGTCCATCGACAGATGAATGGATAAAGATGTGGTGTGTGTGTGTGTGTGTGTGTGTGTGCGCGCGCACACACACACACACACACACACACACACAATGGAATATTATGCAGCCATCAAAAGTAATGCGTCTTGCCATTTGCAATGACGCGGATGGAAGTGGAGGGTATTATGCTGAGCAAAGTAAGTCAATCAGAGAAAGACATGTATCATATGACCTCACTGATATGAGGAATTTTTAATCTCAGGAAACAATCTGAGGGTTGCTGGAGTGGTGGGGGGTGGGAGGGATGGGGTGGCTGGGTGATAGACATTGGGGAGGGTATGTGCTATGGTGAGCGCTGTGAATTGTACAAGATTGTTGAATCACAGATCTGTATCTCTGAAATAAATAATACATTATATATTAAAAAAAAAAAGACGAAGTTAGCAAGAGGGGAAGAATGAAGGGGGGGAAATCAGAGGGGGAGATGAACCATGAGAGACGATGGACTCTGAAAAAAAAACTGCAGGTTCTAGAGGGAAGGGGGTGGGGGGATGGGTTAGCCTGGTGATGGGTATTAAAGAGGGCATGTTCTGCATGGAGCACTGGGTGTTATACGCAAACAATGAATCATGGAACACTACACCAAACAGTAATGATGTAATGTATGGTGATTAACATAACATAATGAAAAAATAAATAAAATAAAAAATAAAACACAGCCAATGCCAATTAAAACAAAAAAACAAAAACAAAACTATAGGCCCATATCCCTGATGAATATAGACACAAAAATCCTCCACAAAAAATATTAGCAAACTGCATATAATAATATGTTAAAGTGATCATTCCTCATAATCAGGTAGGATTTATTCCAGGGACGCACGGATGCTTCAATATTTGCAAATCAATCAATGTCCTACACCACACCAACAAATTGAAGGATAAAAATCATGATCATCTTAATAGATGCAGAAAAAGCATGTGACAAGATTCAACCTCAATTTATGATAAAAACTCTCAACAAAGTGGGGGTAGATGGAATATACCTCAACATGATAAAGGGTGTATATGAAAAACCCAGAGCTGACATCATACTCAATGGTGAAAAACAGAGCTTTCCCTCTGAGCTCAGGAATAGCTCATTTTTTATTCAACATAATACTGCAGGTCCTAGCCACAGCAATCAGACACAAAGAAGAAATAAGAGGCATCCATGTTGGTAAAGAAGAAATTAAACTGTCATGATTTACACACAACATGATACTATATATATATATATATATATATATATACACACACACACACACTATATATAGAAAAATTCTAACGACTACACCAAAAACTTACTGGGAGTAATAAACAAATTTAGTAAGCTGGCAAGATACAAAATTAATACCCAGAAATCAGTAGCATTTCTATACTCTAACAATGAAGTTGCAGCAAGAGAAATGTAAAAAACAGAACAACAAAACTCAACACCATTTACAACTGCACCAAAAATAAAATATCTACAAATAAACTTAACCAAATAGGTGAATGACCTGTACTCTGAACAGTATAAAACACCGATGAAAGAAATTGAAGATGACACAATTGAAGATGGACTAGAATATTGTTAAAATGTCCATATTGCCCAAAGCAATCTACAGATTCAATGCAATCTCTGTCAAAATACCAACAGTGTTTTTCACAAAACCAGAACAAATACTAAAACTTGCACAAAACTACAGAAGACCCTTAATAGCCAAAGCAATCGCAATCTTAAGAAGAATGAAGCTGGATATACCACAACTCCAGGTTTTAAGATATACTACAAAGCTGTAGTAATCAAAACACTGTGGTACTGACACAAAAACAGACACATAGATCAAAGGAATAGAGACTCCAGAAATAAACCCATGATTATATGGTCAAATGATCTATGATAAAGGAGGCAAGAACATACAATAGGGAGAAGACAGTCTTTTAAATTAATAGTGCTGGGATTACTGGACAGCTACATGCTATAGGATGAAACTAGACCACTTTCTAACACGGAACACAAAAATAAACTCAAAATGGACTAAAGACATATATGTGAGACCTGAAACCATAAAAATCCTATAAGAGGACACAGGCAGTAATTTCTCTGACATCAGCAACAGCAACATTTTTCTAGCTAGGTCTGTCTCCTGAGGCAAGGAAAACAAAAGCAAAAAGAAACTATTGAGACTACACCAAAGTCAAAGGCTTCTGCACAGGGCACCTGGGTTGCTCAGTGGTTAAGTATCTGCCTTTGGCTCAGGTCATGATCCCGGGGTTCTAGGATCAAGCCTCTCTTCGGGCTCCCTGCTCAGTGGGGAGCCTGCTTCTCCCTCTGCCCCTTTCCCCTATTGTGCTCTCTCTCAAATAAATAAAATCTTAAAAAATTAAAATAAAAGACTTCTGCACAGCAAAGATTTGAAACCACTGACAAAACAAAAAACCAACCTACTTAATGGGAGAAGATATTTACAAATGATAGATCCAATAAGGGGTTAATATTCAAAAAATATGAAGAACTTATACAACACCAAAAAAACCAAACAATCCAATTAAAAAAATGGACAGAGGACCTGAACAGACATTTTTCCAAAGAAAACATACAGATGGCTGACACATGAAAAGATGCTCAACATCACTCATCAGAGAAATACAAATCAAAACCACAATGAGATATCGCCTGACAACAATTAGAATGGTTAAAATCAAAATGACAAGAAATACCAAGGGTTGGCAAGGATGTGGAGAAAAAGGAATCTTTGTGCACTGTTGGTAGGAATGTAAATTGGTATAGCCACTGTGGAAAACAATGCAGGTTCCTCAAAAAATTAAATATAGAAATACCATATGATCCAATAATCTCACTGTTGAGCATTTATGCAAAGAAAGCAAAAACACTAATTTGAAAAGATATATGCACTCCTGTGTTTATTGCAGCATTATTTACAACAGACAAGATATGGGGACAACCTAAGTGTTCATCAATAGACAAATGGATAAGGAAAATTTGTACACACACACACACACAAATATGACACAACTATAAAAAAGGAGATCGTGCCATTTGAGATAACATAGAACTAGAGGGTATTATGCAAAGTGAAATAGGTTAGTAAAAGAAAAAAATATTGCATGATTCCACAAAAAAATGAAAAAAAAAAAAAAAAAAAAAAAAAAAAACCGAAGCAAATGAATAAACAAAGAGCAGAAGCAGACCTATAAATATAGAGAACAAACTGATGGTTGCCAGACCAGGGCGGGCGGTGGGTAGAGTGTCAGGCAAAATAGGTGAAGGGGAGAGGGAGATACAGGCTTCCAGTTGTGTAATGAGTAAGTCACAGGAATAATAATAAAAAAAAAATCACAGCATAAGAAATACTGTGAATGAACTGATGATATAAAGGGACAGATGGTAGCTATATTTGTGATGAACATAGCATGATGCATAAACTTGTCAAATCACCTTGTTGTATACCTGAAACTAATGTAACGTTGTGTGTCAACTATACTAAAAAAAAAAATAGACTGTTAATGTCACATTATAAAAAATAATTCTGCCCAAAGACTTTTTTTTTCTTCTGGATTTTGAAATCAGGAATGGGAGTATTTCATGACTTCACAAGAAAGCGATGCTTCTCAACCATGAAACTAGGTCAGTGTTGATTCTTCTCGATAATAATTTTACAGAAATCACTTTGTAACTGAGATTGACAAAGTATTAGGAGATCTCATCTTCAACAACCAATGATAATTCAGAATATTTGAGAAGTAATACACATTTAAGAAACTAGGGATTTGTTAAATTTTTTAAACAAGTATTTATGCCCCTTCCTTACTGAATACTCAATTATACATTTTTTATATGCTTTAGAATTTTTTTAAGTGTGGGGGGAGAGAGAGAGAGAGAGAGAGAATGCGCTGAGTAGGGGGTGGGAGAGGAGAGAGAGAATCTTAAGTAGGCTCCATGCTCAGTGAGGAGCCAGACTCAAGGCTCAATCTCATGACCCTGAGATCATGACTTGAGCCAAAATCAAGAGTTGCATGCCCAATAAACTGAGTCACCCAAGCACCCCTGCTTTAGAATTGTTCTAATTGCTTCTGTTTGAGAGCTAATTTTGGCATTCATTTAATAAGGCAGGACAAACTATCACAATAGCAAAACATAATATTTACTATGTTAATATCAGCTACCCTTTTTTTCCATCCTTTCTCCAGTTGTCTAGGTCAACTTGTGTCTTTAATTCTGGTTTTCTTTTCAGCTCCGAGTTCATTATACTATGGACATGGATTTAAAGAGCTGTCTAGTTAGAGTCTGCTAAGCTTTAGGTGCAAGGACTAAAATTTCCAAGAGCTGCATGTAACTGTTACATGAAACAACAGAATCTCCTGACAAACTAATGTAAAAAGCATCCAGGATTAAACAAAAATGTGCAAAGTGCCTGGTACAATTTGTCTTTTTCCCTGTAAAATGTTAATAAGATAGTTTGTTCTGTTATTATGATCTCTTTACAGTGAAGAAGAAGAATTGAAGGAGGTACTTGGGAAATACACGTTTGTACATGCATGCATTTCGAAAATGACAATACTTTGGATATATATTATATATATGTTATATATTCAAAGACTTTTCATAGAAAATGGCAGTGCAATAAGCTCTTTCTCTGAAGGTTATGCTTTTTAATGTGATTTTAAAAATTATAAATAATGGTTATATCCTCAAAATGAAATATAAACCATACTACATATGAAAATCATTCTTTATTCTGCAAAAATGCAGATTGACTTTTATTTACCAATACTGAAGTAAATTAAACTAAGTCAGTTTAATAATCTCTTACCCTTGAGATGGTAAACAGGTAGACTCTTCCTTCCTCTTTCTTTAAGTCGTTCATGAACATTGGTGCACCCACCAAGAGCACATCTGTAATGGTGTCTTTATTCACATCGACGGAACACAGCACACTCCCAAAATAGGAGCCAATCTGGAAGGAGAAAGCATATTAACCTTAGGATTCCTAGGACTCCTATACTCCTAATGTTACACTGAACTTTCATTTACCCATTCAACAAACAAAAGTCGAGTGGAACTCTCCGTGGCGTGATCCTGGACAGGAGGGAAGTTCTCAGATGGAGTGGGACAGAGGACCAGGTGGAGATTCAGTGAAGCAAGAGAGGCTGGCCATCTGAATGTTCAGTGCATGCCTACGTGACTACCTCTGTGGGATTCAGAAACGGATAAGAAAGCATTCGTTCTAGAACACGGTCATCATTTTTCTCAAAATAAAAGCACCCTTCTTTAAAGTAGTAAAGAGGAGAGAAAAATACATGACCATAGCTGGTTTGTGGTCAGGGAAGTCAGAGGCTCATGTCGTCTTACTCCTGGAAAATCCACAGAGACAGGAGCATCACACTTAATCCTGGAGAAGGGAAATCTAAATGGTTGGTTTCTCTGACTCAAGGAAGGAAAATTTCTGTTGGTTGTCAGAGATCAGGGTTGCCCATTTCAAATATGTGCCAAGCCCATGGGTCAAAACCGCTTAGGAAGGAAATAGGAACCTGTCAGCTGGCCTCTACTCTAGCAGGCCACCCCTGGGAGTCATCCGCGGTTCTGACTACCAAACGGTCATGCTGAGAAGAAAGCGGTAGAAAAGAGAGTTGCTTTAATTTTAGAAACGTCAAAGCCACAGGACACCTAGACAGGCGCAGACGGAGTAGCTCAGTCTTGACAATGCTGTACTGCTCTCTTTTCATTTTTCCTCTAGATCATTGGCTCTTAGTAGGAGCTTGCCGACAGAGCCATGTTCGGTGCCTGTCATTAGGATAAGACCCAGGTGTTATCGATCTGGGGGAGTCAAAACCTTGCAGTTGGATATAACCAAACAGCACAGGCTTTGAGGCCACACAGGACAGGGTTTTAATGACAACTCAGCACCATGCAAGCTATTTGACCTAAGGAAGGTAAACTCTCAGTAACCTGCTGGAAGAGGATGGTAGATTTCAGTATTGTGAAGATTTAAGGAATACGTATTTAATTTTAAGTTCAATTAACATATAGTGTTATTAGTTTCAGAGGTAGAAGTCAGTGATTCATCCGGTTGCATATAACACCCAGTGCTCATGACATCATGTGCCCTCCTTTATGCCCATCACCCAGTTACTGATTTAAGGAATATTCAAGTAAATACAGATTACAGCACCAGCCACAGGTCGGCACTTGATAAATGCTAGTTTCCATTTCTATCAACTCCCACTCCTCCTCTGCCCTAGTCATCCCTACGATTAATTTCACCTGCTACACCATGGCATTTACCTGGTCACCTCGGTGAGCCTGAATAACTGTGACATTGCCATTCTCATTAACACTGTAGAGCACGATCTGGCCAGTATAATTTGCCCGAGGAGCACCAGCAACAAAATGGAGGTCTTTTTCAGTAGAAATTGCAGCCACAGAGTAACCTAGGAGAGAAGAGGTTGCAGAGTAGGTACTATTGAAATGCTCAGCCAAATAGGCTCGAAAAGTTAGTAGAGATGACCAGAGGTCCTTTTTTGTTGTGCGGCAGAGGGGGGTGTGTTAGAAGGTGGCGGACACCCAGTAGTGTATCCTCCAGACTGAGAAGGTATTTTAATGCTGAAACACAAAGCAAGCCACTCCATATTGTTTACAGGTTTTTTTTTATTTTTTTCCGGCATAACTTACTGACAAGGGCAATCCAGCAGGCAGGCAGGCAGGCACGGAGGGACGGAGGGATGAAGGGATGGACAATCCAAGACACTGTGCAACTACTCCCCACCCCTACTCAGAGCTTCATCTCCAGCTTTTATGGAGCAACAGAGGTCACAGGGTCGTTAGCTAAAGTGGTGGCACCTGCACCAGAGGGCTCGCTATTGGTTAGCTAAAGTGGTGGCATCTGTGTGCCAGAGAGGACTCAACACAGAAGGCTAAGGATGGAGTCGCTGTTGTGAGCACTCCTTCCTGGGTATGCACAGTTCCCAGTGTGCCCAGGTGCATCACTGCGGGCTCATCTTCCTTTTCCTAAGATGAACTGCTCCTGCCTTGTGATGGAAGCACTGCCCTGTAGAGGCAGGACACCTACCTATAAACCAGGCCCTAGATTCGGGGTTGTCCCATCAGCCACTCACGAACTTGGCACTGAACAAGTATTTCTTGAATGAATAATTATATGAATTTAAAAGGTAATGTCACGCAGTATAAAGAACATAGGCTTTGGAATCAGACCGTCCCAGGTTTGAATTCTGGATTTGCCACTTACTAAGTTATTTACATTTGGGAAGGTTATTAACCTCTAGGGCTCTCAAAGTAAAATGGGGATACTAATACTTTCTTCAAAGGGTTGTTGGAAGGATTTTTTTTTTTTTAAGTAGGCTCTACACTCAGCTTGGGGCCCAATGCAGGGCTTGAACTCACAACCCTGAGATCAAGACCTGAACTGAGATCAAGAGTCAGATACTCAACCAGCTGAGGCACCCAGGCATCCCTGGAAGGATTAAAATGTTTATGTAGATAGAATTGCCCGCTCAGGAACTGTCCCATAGTAGGTGCTCAAAATCAGTGGCTGCTTATTACAGGAATAAAAAGACTAAGAACTCTAAAGTTAGATAAGACTAGCACTTACTATACTGGCTTTTAGGAACTATTTCCATTTTAGAGAAGCACAATCACAGCTGCTTGAACAGCCAGAAGAGATCAACAAGTGTAATACAGTGTGTCATTAAAGTTTTAGGATAAGGCCCGATTTGCAAAGAGGCAACATAAACATGTGCAATAAATATAATAATTAGATGACACTTCAAGGGCTTTGCTGAACAGATCCTGAGATTCAGCAAGGGGCTCGTTTTAAAAAAGGGAACTTAAATTTGCTGAGTCAAATGCTCCTATGCCTTACCTAAATATGAGCTGTGGTTTTTATCTTGCAGAATTTGGTCAAAGGCCTGGTTAGGAAAGATCAAATGTCCATGAGATGTCTGCTGGACAACAGTCCCACTCCAGGCATAAGCTCCTACTGCACCCAGCATCAGAATATCCTAAAATAATTGAAAAATGAAGATCATGAGAACAAACTACCTTTAAAGCACAAGAATGTAGCGTATGCAAAACATTGAAATAATGGCCTAGATTTAAGGAGAAAATAACGAAGTAAAATGTATTTGAACGTATCTTGATATATGTCCACATTGTTTTACTATATTTCGTGCTGGAAAACAAGCCTTCCCCCAGGCCATGTTAACCTGATACATTCTGTAGATAAATCTCGACTACCCTACAGGAGGAGCACATAGCCACCTTCCGATTTCCATTCAAAGGTGTACCTGGGCAAATGCCAAACAGTTGTGAGCTTCCTGTCCCACATATTCATGAGTGAAGCTCAGGGTGGGATGTGAGGCATGCCTGAGAAGTAGGCAGTGCGGCTGGCAGAGGACGAGAGGTGGGGCCCTGCTGCTATGCAGCCACGTCCTCTTGGGAGGTCCTCTTCTGACCTATTCTATTTTCCAATGTTCTTCCTCTTTCCTCTTGACTCCTTCTCAAGTGTTCCTCTATCATCTCTATCTTAGTCCGTCTGTTGGACGACAACAGAGCTACAAAAGTTTACCACAGGGTAACACTCTATCTACTTGGAGAACAGACATTGGTCAGCACAGCACCAGGAGGGGCTGGTTCACAGACCAGGGCAGGATGCTCTGGACTGACTCAAAATCCAACCAGGATCGTCAAAGCTGTAAGTCATCGAAGAGGGCAGGGTTTGTCAGGATGGGATTTATTATTTTCAAGTTTTTGATCTTAGATCTCAGAAAACATCAAAGATATGGATTTTGGATTGAAAAATATAAGCCATTAAAAATAGAGCAAAAAGGAAAATGTGTCCCATTTCGAGGACAAGAGACCATGAAATTGTGTGAATGCCTGTCATAAATTTGGGACTCCACATCAGGGTGCAGGAAGGGACTTCAGGACGTGTACAGAAACCTCAGGAAGTTGAGTGCACTATTTCTGAGGGAAAAACCCATAACTTTTACGAGCATTCCTAACGATTAGTGATCCAGACAAAGTCAACACCTTTACTTCTAGAGCAAAAAAACAAGCCATTCCTGGTCTGTCCTTCTGGCAATCAAGTCCTCTGAGTTCATACTGTTCCCAAAGCTTTTCCAGTGTTGCCCATCTCTGTGTCCCTCCGCTGCTCCACTGGGACCCCGAGCAGAGTTGGAACCAGAGCCTGGGGAAGTGGATGTTTATGGGAAGGAAGAACACATCTTCTGAGCTAAGAAAGCTTTCCATCTCACATGTTTGCTAACTCTTCACTTTTTTCAACTATCTTCTGTCTCTGCTCGTAGAAAAGAGATACTCCGGCACCTCAGAATTCAAGAGTGGCAGTGATGACAAGAGTTTGCGTTTTGTGTTTCGTTTTTTTAAAGATTCATTTATTTATTTATTTGAGTGAGAGAGTGTGTGTGTGCATGAGCTGGGGGAGGGGAAGAGAGAGAGAGAGAATCTCAAGCGGACATGCCACTGAGCGTGGGGTGGGCTCAATCCTAAGACCCTGGGATCATGACCTGAGCTAAAATCAGGAGTCACTTAACCGACTGAGCCACCCAGGCGCCCCAAGAGTTTGTGTTTTTAAATAAACTTTTCCAGTAGTTAATTGATTTAAAGGAAATTCCTGCAACGATAATCCCTTGAATTAATATAGTGCCTGTCCCTTGGAGTACTCATACACTTTCTTGCATATTACCATTTTTTTTCCATAAAAAATCCCCGTGAAACAGGGAGGGGAAGGCATTATTATCCTTCATCTTTTAGATGACAAATCAGCAGCACAAAGAAACTGAATGACTATGACTGGGAATCAGAACTGTTGATCACTAGATGGCTGTTTTTTCCATTCTATATATAAAGCTGCTGTGCCCCAAAGTGTTCAGCCAAATGACAGCATGGCTGGAAGTTATCTGATATACACACGTTCTGAGGAGAGTAATCTGCGCTGATTCCCACTTGTGACATTTCCATCTGGAAGTTGTCTCCTCCTTGAACAGTACCTGGGAGATGGTAATTTCAAGAATTATATCACTGTCAGTTTTTAAATCAAATTTTCAAACATGCATGCACATACACACATGAACACATGTGCACATGCACATATATGGACATACATACACCCACAATGTTCTGATGTTCACTCAAAAATATAGAGCTGGCAAAAGCTGGGAGGGAGAAATCACTAAGGAAGTGTTCTAACAACAACCCACAAGACTTCCAAGGTAGTGTTTGAAATTGGTATTAATCTTGATTATGCATTCATGCACTTATTGGTATGCTTATGATGTTCCTGATAGCAAAAACACTCAACATAGGGGATGACGTAAAATAAAACCTGAAGTGATGGCCCTTTTTAAAAATTATTATTACTAGCTAAGAAACTAACTGAATTTTTAGCTTTTAAATATTGGTACTAATAAGTGTACATCCATCTTAGGTGCAGTTGGAAGAGCCAGGCAGTTGATGCGTAAGGAAGACCAAACAGATATGTGGGTTAGGCTTCAGGATCCAGGATTCAAGACTGAGTAGGAATTTTACCAGTTAGGAAGTTTGTCCTATTTCTACATATGTGCTTGTCTTTGACACTCAAACCATAGGACTCAATTAGTATTCATTTTCCATACAGTGTAGTCAAAATGGTTACACTTAATCTTCACAAAAAGGAATAAATTCCTGGACTACCACTTGGATATAAAGAGTGATATATATAATGTATACCATACGACACAGTCACTTGTTTAGAAGACGTAATAATTTACACAGGCTGAGTAGAGATAATTTTTTTAAAGATTTTATTTTTAAGTAATCTCTACACCCAGCATGGGGCTCGAACTCACAACTGTAAGATCAAGAGTTGCACGCTACACTGACCAAGCCAGCCAGGTGACCCAAGATAATTTTTAATAAAGTAGAGCAGTGCTTCCCCAAAATCCAAAATAGCAGATAAGGCACAAAATCATTTCTAATTAGCATTTAGGTTGCATTGTGATTATTCATGTTCAGGTGATCACAAACAAGCATAAGTCATACCATAGGTAGCCAAATAATTTTATATTATTTTATATTATCTCAAGGCACATTAGATTTTGATAATGATTTCAACAACTCAGAAGTACCACTGGATGTTTAAAGAAGCAATAATATTTTTTGGGTAGAAGTCTCCAGTGGATAATCAGGAGGTGAAGATAAGACTAAGGACTGAATGCTTACTTTATGCAATGCCCTTGGACCCAGCTTCTGAAAGAGAACCTGACCTATAACAGGTGTTCAATAAAATAAGCTCTTTATTGCTGAGAGTTATTTGGGTTAGCCACCAGGAACCAGAATTTTGGGACTTTTACCAACTGGGAAGTGTGTCCCATATAGTGAGTTCTTGAATATGTGGTATTTCTACACTGACTAGAGCTTCCAAGGCCATTTTAGTAAATTATTGTAGACCTGGGAAATAACAAGTTTTCTTGAAATCTGAACTATTAAAAATCTTCATTATGTTTTTCTAATTTTAAAAGTATACATGCTTGTAAATGAATTCAAGAATTTCAGAAATTATGTAACAGTATAAAAAGGTAAAACTTTTATGATTATAAAAACTATGCAGGGTAAAAAGGTAAAACTGTTTACAATTATAGTAGATATTACTAAATTGCCTTCCCCCAAAGCTGTACAATTTATAATCTTATCAATAGTGTATGAGCTTCTTTGCTTCCCCATAATATCTCCAAGATTATATATTACTAATCTTCATTATCTTTTAGGCACAAAGTAACATTGATTTAATTTATAATTTAAAATAATTACTGAAATTGGGAATATTTTCTTATATTCATTAGCCATTTGTATCTTCTCTTTTATGAACAACTCACTCATGTTATCTGTTTTTCTTACTGATTCATAGGAGTTCTTTTAATATAAGGTATATAAGTTAACATTAATAGAGCAAGAATACAGTAATAAAATCAAGAATTCTTGAAAAAAGTTTTTGAAAGATGTTCTTTTACCTTCAATGCTAAAAATTTGTTCTCCTAGTGTCCCAGCCTTTTCTAGTAGAGCTGCTTCATCAGACACGTTGAAAAAATATCTTTCTGTTGGAATACTGGCAATTGCTTTAATTTCCTTTATTAAATTTTTAGTATCAAGGGCATTTCTGTTTAAGTACCCAAGAACCTTAAAAACAGAGGAAGAGGGGAAAGGAGTCATTACAGCTATACTCCAATATCCCTACTAGCACTTTCTAGTATTTATTTCTGAAGACAAGAGGACCTCTGGAGAAGTAAATCCACACCCCCTTAGTCAACAGGACTGAAAATCAGCAAGAAGAGAGACAGAATGAAAATCTTTTCTATAAAGCTGTGTGCACCGAATGAGAAAGTGCAATCTTGGGAAGTGATGTTATAAAGCAGCACTTACCCATCCACTGAAAGACAACTAAAAAGAAAATCTACTTACTGCTATGCCAAACCTCAGTATATTGTCATTGTTGCATTGATCAATCACAGCTTTCAACATTGAACCATCATGCGATTCACCATCAGTTACAACCACCATTACTTTGGTGGCACCCGGTCGTCCTCCAGCCGCTGCTGCATAAGCAGAATCTCTGTGGCAGATAAGATTAAAGACTCACTATCAAAAGATGAAGCTAATATGTGGACCTCTGGTTAGAAATATAAATGTGAAACTAACTTCTTTGAGCCATGACCTACTGTGACTTAGAATTTCTCTCTATAGGTCTGGTGACATATTTACCTACATTCTATTTGCAGCTTATAGGGAAATATATATAAATCTTGCTTGGCATTAACAATAATTTCCATAGTTTCTATGGCATGTGTGTGTGTATTTACATCAAGAATCCTTAGAATTATCTTCTGATAACAAAATTCAATTCATTAATACTAATAAACAGAGCAAAGATATTCAGTCCTGTCACCAGTTTTACTCACTGGATCTGCATTTACTTTCTCAATATGAAATTGCTTTTTAAAAAGTAATAAATACACTTGGCAAAAGAATGTCAAAGCATTTGGAAAGGTATAAAATAAAAATCTGACACCAAGCCACTGTTCCAAAGGTAACCACCTTTATCTGTTTGTTTCCTTATAGAAAACATTTTATTTAGATGTATATGCATAATCTACTCCTCAAATGTTCATGCAAATGGGGACATAGTCAAGCCAATTATTTTTCATATTTTTTAAAAGACTTTATTTATCTGACAGAGAGAGAGAGAGCACAAGCAGGGGGAGCATCAGAGGGAGAGGGAGAAGCAGCGTCCCTGCTGAGCAGGGAGCCTGATGCAGGACTCCATCCCAAGACCCTGGGATCATGACCTGAGCCAAAGGCAGACACTTAACCAACTGAGCCACCCAGGCACCCCGATATAGTAATTTTTCATTTTGATGGAGATCTTTCCACATAGGCACATACAAAGCTCTCTCTCTCTCTAAGATTTTTATTTATTTATTTGAGAGAAAGAGCAAGAGAGAGTGCACAATTAGTGAGGTGGGAGGGGGCAGAGGGAAAGGGAGAAGCAGACTCCTGCTAAGCAGGGAGTCCAATGTTGGGCTCGATCCCAGGACCTCGAGATCATGACCTGAGTCAAAGGCAGATGCCTAACTGACTGAGCTACCCAGGTGCCTCCAAAGCGCTCTTTTTAATGGCTGCATAATATTTCATTATTTGGGGGTAACCGTAGTTTAACCAATTCTCCATTATTGTGCATTTAGGCCACTTTGAGTTTTACAAGTAATGCTGTAATAAATGTCCTTGTGTATATATCTTGGCATACTTTTCCAAATGTATCAGTAGGATAAAATCTTAGTAGTGAAATTACTAGGCCAAAAGATTTACACATTTCAAACTTTGAAAGATATTGCAAAATTGGACTCTAAAAATTTCTACCAATTTGTATTTCTATAATGTAAAAGAATGCAAGTATCTCCATCTCCTTTCCTTAACAATGAGAATTATTAAACTTTTAAATTATGGACATTCTGATAAGTGAGACTATATAATTGTCTTAATATGTGGTTTTTTTCATTATGAAGAGATAATGAATATTTTATGTTTATTAGCCATTTGTAGTTTTTCTCTATGAACTCTTGATTTTTCTTTATCTTTGACCATTTTTCTTTGTATTATTCATTATTTTCTATTTAGAAAATCATCTTTTTTCGAATGGATAAAGAAAATGTGGTATATATATACAATGGAATATTATGCAGCCATCAAAAAGAATGAGCTCTTGCCATTTGCAATGACGTGGATGGAACTGGAGGGTGTTATGCTGAGTGAAATAAGTCAATCAGAGAAAGACATGCATCATATGACCTCACTGATATGAGGAATTCTTAATCTGAGGAAACAAACTGAGGGTTGCTGGAGTGGTGGGGGGTGGGAGGGACGGGGTGGCTGGGTGATAGACATTGGGGAGGGTATGTGCTATGGTGAGCGCTGTGAATTGTGCAAGACTGTTGAATCACAGATCTGTACCTCTGAAACAAATAATACAATATATGTTAAAAAAAAAAAGAAGAAGAAGATAGCAGGAGGGGAAGAATGAAGTGGGGGAAATCGGAGGGGGAGACGAACCATGAGAGACGATGGACTCTGAAAAACAAACTGAGGGTTCTAGAGGGGAGGGGGTGGGGGATGGGTTAGCCTGGTGATGGGTATTAAAGAGGGCACGTTCTGCATGGAGCCCTGGGTGTTATACACAAACAATGAATCATGGAACACTACATCAAAAACTAATGATGCAATGTATGGTGATTAACATAACAATAAAAAAATAAAAAAAAGAGAAAATCATCTTTTTTCATATATATCACAAATATTTTCCTCAGTTCATTAATCTTTTTAAATTTCAGTGGTATTACCTCTGTATGTAAATTGCATATTTTGACATCAATTTTATTAGTTTTTTATGTGTATTCTTTTATATTTGACATGGTATTTTAAAAGGACCTCTTATCTCTAGACTTGTTTCTTTAATTTCCCAAGTTTCTCATAGTCCCTTAATAATTACATTTTCTTAGATTTAAATTTTGGTGCAGCTGAAATTTATTTTGATTCAAGGAATGAGTCAGGAATTCAGCTTTATTTTGTTTCTAGATGAGTATCCAGTTGTCCAACAAGTTTTTTCCTGTCTATTGGATTCTCCTGTTGCACATTCTTTCTGGGGAATGCCACCCACCCACTTTGGACTACCTACCTCCTCTATGGTGACACCTTAAAGTCTACATCTATTTCCATTCATCTCTCCTATTTCATATTTATACATTCAATGCCTGCTGAATATTTTCACCTGAATGTGCAAGGGACACTTTAATTTCAACATGTTTAAAACTGAGAATATCATTTTATTCCCTAAAGCCTTCCTACATAACAGAATGTTGAAGTGTAGAAAAATATTTCATATTTGTTACCCAGACAAATTTGAATACAGTAGTCACATGAAATACTTGTTGAGTGAATTATATTCTTTATGACACATGGTAGAATTCATTTATGATTATAAGATTTCTGAGGGTAGAAACTGTGCCTCATTTGTTCTGATTAACTTCAGGTCTTGGAATAATAAATCATAACCATACACAGTCAATGAAATAAGATAAATGGAAAATGGCAATATTTACTAAAAGAGTGTCAGAATTCTATTTGATGTTGTAAAGAAACAGACCAAAAACAAAAAAAAAAAAAAAGGAAGAAAAGAAAAGAGAAGAAAAACTTCTGGAAGGTGTGAGTAAGAAGTTAGGTGATTCTCCTAACAATGGAAAGGCTTTGATTAGCTTGGGAAATAGTGGTAAGAGCAAGATGATGGTACAGGAGAGAAAACCAAAGGTCTGAAAAGATGATAAAAGCCCAAAAGTCACATCTTAACAGACAGTGGCCATTCTTTTTGTGAGGAGATCTTAACAGGTCCCTGACTCCTTCCAGGGAAAAATACCACATCCATACTTCCTGCTGAAAACACAGGCCCTCTGCAGTTTGTAGCTCCTTCTAGGCCATTCTCCATGTCAACCTACTGTTCCTCTGAGTCTAGTTTACTAGGTCATAAAGGGCACTTTGTCCGTTGGCAACTGACCTATTGACTGGCCACAGCCTGTGAAATGGTGTGGCCCACAAGAACATCTCAATAGGGACAACAGAGATTAACCAAATCAATCCACTTGTAAGAAATCCACTTTTGAGACATATAGGGAAAGTCACCAGTGGATAGAAACAGCAACTAGAATATACACCCAGAAAAAAAGAGGGGCAGATAAATAGGAAATGCAGAAATAGGAAAGACAGGATACACGGTGACTGACCAGATATGTGCTACTAAGGAAGAACAAAAAGAATAAAGAAAACCTACCAGTGCTTACTTTGAATGACTGGGGGGGAAGGGCAGTAGCATGAATCAAAATGGAAAAGTCGTGAGCATGGGTAGGGAAAAGAATAAGGCTGGTTTAGGATGTATTGAATTTGATAAGTGAGCCAACATTCCAAATTAAAGATCTCCAGCATCAGCTGGATGCCTGTGTGAATTCTGGGAGAGAGTTCAGAGCTGACCACATAGCAATGTGGTGACCTACACAGGGCTAATGGAGAAGCCATGAGAGTGGAGACAATGCCTAAGAGGAAAGGGAGACAAAAAAAGAGGCCTCTGTTTAGTGAAGAAAAAATAGGAAAAGGAGCCAATGAAGAGGCAAAATTGTTGACAGAAAGTTGGCAGGGATTCTAAAAGTTTGTGATGTCACGGCAACTGGGGCTGAAATGGCCGTGTGTGCTCATCAGCAGCAAATAGTGAGGGAAGCTAAAGAGGATGACGTTTGAGGCAGGACCACTGGGTTGCTGGCTGATGAAGAGGCCCATGTTTACCTGGTGGCAAGCCATATGTTTCAAGGAAGTGGAGGGAGGGAGTAAAGACGATTTTTCAAGGAATATGGTAGTGGAAGGAAGAAATACACAACACAGTGACAAAGGCAGCAAGTAGGTTTAAGGGAAGGTGAAGTTATTTTTCTCATTTATTTTTTAAGAATAGGAGAATCTTCAGCATTTTTGTAAAGGTATGTGATTAAAACAGAGTGAAGATGAACGCAGGAGTGCTGAGAAAATAGAGAAGCTGAGCTAAAAATTAAAAGCGTTGCACAGTTGTAACATTCACATTGCCCTGGGTTGTAATAAACATAGTGAACCCAATCCATTTAACTCGGACTCCTAGGTCGTTAACATTTAAGATTCTATGACCCTTCTTAATATGCATGAAGTCCTCCATTAGCTAAAGTAGTTTGTGGCCTTGATAAATATTAACAAATAATTGCAGATTGCTCCATTTCCTACTTAATCTAAGGTCTTTTAATGTCGTTTCATCTACTTCATATACAATCCTTATTTTTTTTAAAGATCTTATTTATTTATTTGACAGAGAGAGAGAGAGACAGCGAGAGAGGGAACACAAGCAGCGGGAGTGGGGGAGGGAGAAGCAGGCTTCCCGCGGAGCAGGGAGCCCAACGTGGGGCTTGATCCCAGGACCCTGGGATCATGACCTGAGCCAAAGGCAGACGCTTAACAACTGAGCCACCCAGGCATCCCGCATATACAATCTTAAAAAAAAATCATGGAATATCTTTTAAAAGTCCTAGAAATCAAAGATTTTAAAATTTCATTTCCTGTTGCCTTTTCAAAGTGTTCAAGTAACAGAACGTTTGAACTTTTCTTCTTTATTACTTCTGATTTAAGTGTAAGTGCCAGGTACGTTATTTTTGTCTTTTCTTTTCTTTCTTTTTTTTTTTTTTTTTTGTCTTTCTTACTTACAAGCACTTCTATTTTATCAAAATATTGGGCTATTAGCATCATAACTTACTTTGCATATTGAATTGCTTTGAATGTATTTGTGAGGTCTCCACCATACTGGTATGTCTGGGATGTTGCTTCAATCATTTCAGCTTTGGTTTTGAAAGTGTTCAGGTTAAATACAACTCTTGGATTGTTGGCATACTGAATTAACCCCACCTTCAAGAAAGCAGAAGTTCATTAAAGCTTTGTCATTAAGTTATAAATAATTTCTAATTAACCAATATAATCAAAATCAAAAGTGCATCTGGATGTGGGCTGATAGTATAAGGGAATCATTTCCAATTTTGTTCTTAAGAATAGATATTTTTCTTCCAATAGAATGACTTCTTTGTTAGAGGCTGTCAGTATACAGCAGCAGTACTTCTTGATAAGCAAAATGAGGTCCTATGTGGTATAATTTGGTTCTCAAGAGTAATAGTTATAGATTTTCAACTCTAACAGTTATAGATTATCTAGTAATAGATTTTAAAGCAGTGTCTTGTAATATTTTAATATGGATAAATATTAGAATAAAGTTCATAACAAGAAGATTAAATGACATAAATTTTCTAATTAACAATGGCTATAAGCAAGTAAACAATTATAAGCAGTCATAGATGGAAGCTAACAGCTCATCAACTGAGAATACTTGCACATTAAACAAAGAATTAGATTTGAATACAAAAAACCCAAAACAAAACAGTGAGCTAATCACAGTCAATTTGTTGTTCTGGATTTCCTCTAATCACAGACTTCAGCATTTTTGGAAGAAACCTGCCATATGAGCATGTGGGCAAGAAGTTTCTGGCCTTCAGATGCCATTAGGGAGAGTCTTATTTGAAAGACCTGACAGACAGAACAACTTCTGAACAAGATTCTGGGGCACATATCGTAATCCTTTAGATCAAGGAGGCCAAACACTTCTATTAACATCCTGTTCTCAGCCTTGAAATCATCCTCTATGCCTACGAGTTGGGGGCTTTCAGAACAGGAAGTGGCAATAGGAGATTAGTGGTAAAAAGGTCTCTAAAATAGAGGTCAGTCTGTAAGGAAGGTGGAAGGTGCAAGGCCTGGATTTCTGAGTTCAATCAGCTACTTTTGCTAGGAAGCAGTCAAGTAGGTTAGGAAGATGTGAAAAATATGACATTGCTGGAGCCTTCTCCTTAGGATAGGATATAAGACTTGAGAGAGAGGATGGATCAAAAATAACTCTAAGGATTTAAAAGTCTAAAATGAGAGGAAGATGTTAGTAACTCCCATGACAGCCCCAGAGCTTCGGTGTGAGAAAGGGGAGCGATGCATAGAAGACTCAAAGAAATGTAGTATATTAGGACTTACAGAATGGTCAAATTTAGATTGGAAGAAAAGGAGACTTTGTAAAGCACCTCTAGAGATGAAGATGCATTGGGGTAGGAAGACAAGGAGAGGAAGGTCATAAATTCCTTGCGAGAGACTATGAAATAGAGTAAATCTTGTAATGGGGGTAATCCATTTAGAGACAGATAAAAGAAGCAGATAATTAGGAAAACTTCTCTTATGATGGGCCCGAAGATGGTACTATACAGAAATCAGTGCCATACACAGTCTTTTTTAAAAGGATTTTATTTATTTGAGAGAGAGAGCACGAGCTGGGGAGAGGCAGAGGGAGAGGGAGAAGCAGACTCCCCGCTGAGCATGGAGCCTGCCATGGGGCTTGATGTGGGGCTTGGTCCCAGGACCCTGAGATCATGACCTGAGCTCAAGTCAGACACTTAGCTGACTGAGCTACCCACGTGCCCCTACACTTAGTCTCATTCACAGAATTTTCACACAGTGAAACCTCCAAAGTTTCAGTGGACATTAGTGTCCTTTAGGTATTGAAAAGCAATGTCAATGGGGAAAACATATAATAATATTTTGTAATACTGAACAGGGAAGCAGAAAATCAAATTTCAACATAGCTAACTGCAAAGCATTTAGGGGGAAATGTTCCCACAATTGTTACTAGATGTTGGACACTAGGGCCTCAGATGACAGGAACAACCCAAAAACATACACTGGTAACTGTGAACTGGTTCCTGTTGATTCTGGTTCAATGTGCTTCTACAACCAGAATGAGCCATGAAATGGCAAATCCAATAAGAAAGAAAGAAAAAAGACCCAAAACTTTAACAATAAATGCTATTCGGTTTTTGGAAAGTGAGAAGCTTCTGTTCCTGAGTTTTGGATGCCTATCTCAAGAAGATAGAAAAGCAAATTAAAGACTCGTTAAAACACAGGCAGCTACACAAAATTATTTAAAAGACGTGTCCTGTGTAAAAAAAGGAAGGATAGACTAAAATATGATAAAAGACTAAAAAATAATAAAAGATAGGATTATACTGTCTATGGACTTCTTTATAAAAAAATCCCAGAATTCAAGGACAATTGTTTTACCAACAAACAAAAAGAAATTATTAGTCCAAGCGGCTGTCAAGAAAAAATAATACAGGATTTTAAAATGTATTAATAAATTCATGAGTTATAGGAGGGAAAAATAAGCAACTAAAGAGGATTAAAATGCTATATCCTAGGGATGCCTGGGTGGCTCAGTCAGTTAAGCGTACGACTGTTGATTTCAGCTCAGGTCATGATCTCAGGGTTGTGAGATCGAGCCCCGAGTCAGGCTCTGTCCTGGGCGTGGAGCCTGCTTGAGATTCTCTCTCTCTCTCTCCCTCTCCCTATGCCCCTCCCCCCACTTCCATTCTTTCTCTCTCTCTTTCTCTCACACACACAAAAAATGCTCTATCCCACATCCGATGCTTGTGTCAGAAATAAAAGTCTCAAATCTCAAAAACGAGCACTGGGCAAAGTCATAGACAGAACAACTCAATGTAGTACAAGTTTCAATTAACTGTCAAGATTACCATTAAATGCATTTAATATGGGGATCTGAAAAATACAAAAATTAAGATGTCATAGCTAACAATATTTTCTCAGAAAGAAAGCTGTGGGTTAGTGTATGTATTATTCAAATCCATACCTGTGTTTTCTTGGGGCCTATATCCAGGCCTTGGACAAATTTTTCCAAAAAATTCTTTACGGCATCCCAGGGATAAATACTGTTCGATTCATCACACACAACCACAACATCTATGAGGGAAGGGCAGGCTACACAGGAAAAATGAAAGAAACAGGTTTCCACAGGTAATTCAGTCTTCACACTCATATGCAAATGGAACAAAGTAAAATGGACTTGAGGAGTTGGGTGGCACTTGATAAATCCCGCCTTCCCCCTTCATATAAGGCATAGCTCAGACCCTCTGCACATTCATCACTTACTCTGAACTGCAGGTGCAAAGCTGGTCAAGAGCTGAAAATCGGGACTGACGTCAGAACAAACCCCAGTTGTGTAATATTGACTTCCACACTGCTGTGCCCACAGGGGACCACACGTCTTTAGAGAAACGAGGGCAATGACAAAACATATGGAAAACATGAGTCCTCTACGTCTCCACTGGTAAAACTCAGAGATCATTTCTATGATTTTACCAGATACTAGGAATTGTCAACTCTTGTAACTAACAGGTCAAAAAAAAAAAAAAAAAAAGCCTCTGAAAGAAAGTGTCTCAGAAAGAAATAGCAACCAGAAGTAAGGGAGAAAGAAGGTGGCAGCTGGGCTGGGAGGCAGGTGTTGATGGTGCAGGGAGAAGCCCCTCTGGTCACCCCCCAAGCTAGGGAAAGCGGGTGCTTTCCTTCCTCTTTGGTCTCTCAGTTACCTGGGCCTCAGGGGCTGAATCTGTAAATGAGGATAATCACACCTATTATCTTTTAAGGTTGTTGTAAAGATTAAGTGGGTCTATAGATATAAAACCTTTAGAACAGTGCAGGGTAAATAGCAAATGCTACATAATTGTGAGCCAGCATCATTGCTATTATTATTCTTGAACAAAGATTATACCATTCACCGATACTACTATGCTCTCTATCTACTACCTCTTATAATATTCAGCAGAAACCCACAAGCCCCAGGGCCAGGCAGGAACCTAGGAGTGTTCTGGGCTGATATAGACGCCATGATGAATGAAGAACCCAGGGGCAGCCACCATGGCTCTTGCCCATTGCCAGCCTTGCCAGATCTTTCCAATTTTCAAGGAGAGCCTGAGAGGACAAATTCTTTGTGCAAATTCAGTTAGCAAAAAGAACAAACTCTATGGGCTCAACAAACACAATGATGTTCATGAACTGCCAGTTTCTGACTTTGTTCTAAAGTATTTATTTGAGGACTTCTGATCCCCCTTTTTGTACTACATAAAACCTTCGGTCATCCAAGCTACCACTTGTCTCCCTGCCCACATCAGACATACTACAATTCTTCATAGTCCCATCAACCCAGCCTCAGATCTCTCTTTTTCAGCAGCCCTTGAATGCCAAGAACTCCTGCTTCAGTTGTGATTAAATCACACAGAAAACGCTACATTAAATAATATTAAAATTGCTAGATGTAAAAGGACAAAAATGGGAAAGAGAAGTCTAGTCAAGATCTTAAAGAGCACCTACAAAGTTTAGCATTAGGTAAAGCTGTGGATCAATTATTAAAGCTTAACAAAAAAGTGTGAACTTGCAAAAAGCAATTGGAAGAATAAAAGGGAATTTATTTGACCCAGTTTAATTGTTGGTTGCTCGAAGGAAAAGCAACTGTGGTCATATTTCATGCTCAATGAATAAGCCATAGTTCTTCCTCCTATAAAACTGGTTCATTTTGCCAATTAGTTAGGGGACAGTCACGAGTGATGGCTTTGGCTAGTTTACCAAATAACAGATACCAATTATTGGTTCCTATATCCCCATCCCCAATTGTTTTTTTTTAAATCACCTTGAAAAACAGTAACTTGTGAAATAGTCAAGATTTTTTTTTTTGTTTTAAAAGCAATGGAAAACAGCATTTAAAAGTTGAAATTAGAATATGCCAATTGTTAATGCCAGAACTACATTCCTGCTTTAAGCCCAGAACTTAAGAAGTTTCAAAAAAATGTGATGATTGTCAGTCTTTTCCACATAATTCTTAAGAGTATCTTAAGATTTTGACCTTTTAGGTATGTAAAGGAAGCTTTGGCTTTTTTTTCTTTCTTTTTTTCCTCTCTCTCTCTCCCTCCCTCCCCCTTTGTGCCTTCTCTGCTTGCTACATTGATTGTTAAATTAATCTCTTAAATTCTCTAGCAATTTTAAATTACTTTACCTGAATATACACATTAAATTTTTTGAAGCACAACCTGTAATCCCTATATCTCAATATGTTCCTCTCCCTGAATTTATTCAACCTTAAAAACAAACAAGCAAACAAAAAAAAAAAAAAGAGGAAAGCAACCATATTATAAAGACTTTAGGATATCATAAACCATGAAGATTCATTGCAATATTCATTTTGCTTTGAATTACACATATTATAAGCAATACCTGATGTTTGAATACCAATGCCTGAATACTAGTATCTATTAGGAAAAGTAGAATGACATTGTTAAAAATTGATTGTATTTTTAGAATAATTTAGTTATTATACACATAGGCTTTTAAGTTAGCATGTCAATCATATAGACATAACTAATGTAAAGTTAAATTAAGCGTTCTATAGCTATTTTAACAGGGTGATATAACTAGGATCATCCATGAGCTGGTGGAAATGTCTAATAAAATTGGGTTTTTATTTGCCTTAAAATTTCTTTGGTATGTGATGGTTTTCATTTTTTAATATAGTCAGATATTTTCAACAATTTCCTATATTATTTCTCCTGTTAGTTCTAAGCTCAGAAATTTTTCCCTCTTTCAGAAAATTTCCATTTTCCTCCAGTTTTTAATATTAACTCTTTAATTCACTTGAAAGCATATTTGAATATATAAGTTATTAACCAATTAATTGTCCCCAGACCGCTTGTTAAAGAAGGTATTTTTTTTTCTCACTGATTTGTGATCCTTTCCTCAGCATTCTAGAAACTAAGTGAGAGTAAATACTAATCTGAAATAAGAAGAGACCAAGCCATGACTTAGATGATATCAGATTTACCAACAGTTACAGCAAAGGATTCAAGACAGAAATACTCTTCAGCTTTGAAATCCACTCTCTGAATTAGCAGTACCTAGCTTGAATGTTCCTATGGGAAGGAGAAATGAGACCTGGAATTCTGCTATTATCAACAAATGCTAAGGGTACTTTCCAAGGGCAAAGAATCGGTGTTCCTGTGTTGCTTTTTTCTAAGACATTCCTGGCAACTCTTTTGCTGAATATCTTAAGAAGTCTATACATCAATAGATGGGCATTTCATGTTGGATATCCACAATGGATGATTTATCCAAAAGCAAACTCTAATATTTAAGTGTCAAGATTTGATTTGATAGGTGGGATGGTGAGAAGACACTAACTTCATACTTTCTTGAAATAGATGGGAATTTGAAAGGTAAACACTCACGAGAAATCCTCCAGTGCCCATGTTCCTTGTGAGAGTCAAGCCAAGGCTCATGTTGGTTTTCATTTCAGTAACATTGGGAATGCTTGTGGCAGCTTTCAAAGGGAAAAATATTTTAAAAAGTGAATAAATCTTCACCATTTATTTAAACTTGTTTAAAAAAAGACCCACACACTGATGTTTATGTGTAGCACTGAATTTAGTGTCATATATCCAGGTACTCACATTATATAATCACATGTAAAGAAAGGAGGGGCCTTCAGTGATCTGGTAGCTTGTACGCTTAAATGAGCGAGGTTACAGAATGTCAGATATTAGGGGGTGGTGTCTGTAAAGGGCATGACTTATAGGCATTTAAATTTAAAATTTTTAAAAACAAAATGCTGGCCAAACAATACACACCTGAGGACACAATTTGGTCTACAATTTGCCAACCTACTATTTTCAAGGTCACAACAGCTCCATCTAACGTTTTATTATGGATCAGGAAAAAAAAAATCCTTAAAGTGTTATAAAAATATGCATACAGTAGAATCTGGTCCAAAACATTAATGGCTGAATTTTAAAAGGAAATCATGAGACTAGCCATGTAAAATAATAAATACAAACAATTACAAAGTATTCCAAATAGTGACAATTTTTTTTATTAGAATGCAACAGTGTTTCTCAGCCTCTCTAACAGCAACACTAGTATTGACAGGTCTATACCTAATGGTTTGTTTTGAGGAGGGAAAGAGGTATGGTTAGACTTAGATATCTGTAAATAATCAGCAAAATAATCCTAAACATTAATGGAAACTGGTCCACAGTCTGGGGGTAGATGGTCCAAGAGGCAGCACATTTCTCATGTATCTTATTAAATCAGGTCTTTAAGCTGTGTTGGAAATTTGGATACAATTGGACCCCATATGACTAAGATAATAAAGGCAAAAAAGCTGTCTATATTTCTTCAAGACAATGATTGATTTTGTTATTTTTTAAATTAGAGTTACATCAAATGAGATCTTATTATTTGTAAAAAGTCATATTGCTAATTACTACTTACTTTCCAAATTCAGTTTTTCACATGTAGCACTGGACAGATCAACAGGACATTTATACACATCTCCCATTCGGTTCTCAGGAAAGCCACTCCAAGGTGAACCGACTAGTAACCTAGAAATAGGAATTATTTTTCATTAGATATAAAATGTTAGTATAGTTTCTTAAAGTTTAAAACTGACCACAAAACAATGAAAAAAATCCCCACATTTAATTTCAATCTTAATAAGAAAATAGTTCATATTTGTTCAGTTATAATTTGTTCTTTTTCCTTTTCTCTTAGCTGATCAAGATTCTTAATGAATATTTGCATACAGTATAGAAATATAATGCAGGCCACAAATGTGATCTGCATATGTAATTTAAAATTTTCTAGTAGTCATATTAATACAATAAAAAGCAAAGGTGAAATTCACTTAAATAATATATTTTATCTAACTTGATATACCAAACTAGTATGCAATCATTATAAATAAAAATTATTAATGAGCTATATGACATTCTTTTTTCCATACCAAGTCTTTTGAAATTCAGTGTGTATTTTTTACTCAGAGCACAAATCAGTACGGAGAAGTAACATTTCAAGTGCTCAGTAGCCACATGAGGCTAGCGGCTGCCATATTGGTCAGCACAACTTTAAAGAATGAAACAAGATTAAAACGAAAACAAAAACTAACATTTGTTGAGTGCTTTTCTTGTCCTAAGTATTTTCATATGTTAATTTACTTAGGGAACAGATGAGTTATAAGTGGTTTTACTGTTTATTGTCTATATAAGAGGATCCTTAGCAAAAACACAGAGCAAATATACTGTGGAGCTTTCTTTATGTGTAATGTGTTTGTAGCCAGAACACAGGATGCAGAGTTTGGAGACTGGTGCTCCCATCCTCCTTTTGGTTAGTTTCATTTCCTACAAAACTTGTCCAACTAGAGACTAAATGTTTCCCTGTGGAGCCACTCACCTAACATTTCTGGTTACAAAAGAATGGACAGAAAGAGTCCATGTAAACAGTCTGATCTTCAGAATCTATAGTAGGTTAATTACTCAGCAGCATTCAGTTACTAAGGAAGCATATTTGATTCAATGTTTTTTTTCCCTGTCAAGGTTGGCAGATTAGATGAAACTTAAATTCTTTCATGAGCATTCTGCAAAATATAGTTTATCATTGTTGATTAAACAACATGTGTGCCTTACACTAAGTGCCACAAAGGATACAAAAAAGACTAAGGTGCACCTCTGTCTACTACATCTAGTAAAACTATTTAAGATACATGACAAGTAAAACAATAACAATACAAATGAACAGAAAGATATAAATAAGTTCCTCTCTGGAACAAACGTTAAAATGGTCAGAGGATGCAAAAATGGATGTTGAAAGATGCAGGTGGCAGTTATCATTCTCAGCAGAGGGAAGAGTGTGAATAGTCATGGAAAGAAGAAAACACCAATTATTTTGAAAGACAGTTAATGATTCACACAGTAAGTGAGAGCTAAGTGTAACTGATTTTGATACCCAAGCTCTTAACCCTTAGTTTATTCTCCTTCCTCTTAGCTGCACAAAGGCCTGGCATAGGGCCTAGATTGGGAAAACTACCAGGACAAATGGGCTGCGTTCCAGAATAATCAAAGAGTGGATCTGGAAACTGATGGTCAGGCCACGTCTACCGTGATGAGGGTGTGGCTGTGTGGTGTGTAAGGAGGCTATGGACAGGAAGGACACCAGCCAAGGTCAACTTGTAAGAGCACATCTACACTGTGGGCCCAGGCTGTACTGTTCATAATGTAGGTAAGGGCAGATCATGTTCAAATAGTACTAAATGTGGTAATTTGGGTAACTTTCATTATGCACATTTTCCATCCATCCTCACCAGCCCAAGGGCAAGAAACACACTTAAGTGTAAAAGTTAAGTGTTCCTTAACTAAAATTTAACCATCTTGTTCTTCAGAGTCTTCAGCAGTAAAGCACCATCATGGAGTTACCTACTTCTCAATGAGAAGGCTCAAAAGGCTACTTGCTGTCTCCTCTTGACTAAGTGCTCCCTGGACACACCTCTCTGCCTCACTTCCTCCAACCTCACCAAAGAATTCAGGATTTGATAGTCTCACATTCAGGAGGGGGTATGACATCTCCACTACTGCTGTGAGAGCTGTGGCCTCCTACATGAATCAAATGGGAAGAAGAAAGAAGAAGAAACATCTGCACAACTGTGTGCCTCGTAACAAAAAGGATGTGATAGTACTTGTAAATCTCTCAAAGAAAACATGTAAATCTCTGGCAGTATGATGCCATATTAAACTCTTAACACAAGACAGCAGGTAACAGTGGAAAACCAGATCATCTTGGTAACTGGTAAAGAACCAGGGTGTCCTCATCATATATGACTGACTCATTCTTTCAATATGGTGAACCACATTAGTTAGTAGCCTCCAGGTCACGCTAGTGACTACAGAGAATGTTTCAAAGACCATGTTAACTCCCTTATTGGCAACATTTCCAGTAGACTCTCCTCGCTTCTACCCACAGGTCTCGGTGAAATCCTGGTTCCTGACAATTCATCCTCATAAGGAAAGGCTATGACATCACCAGTGGCTACTCCAAGGGAATTGTGACATTCTTATATTAATCAGACAGGAAGATGAGGGAGGCTGGTATATTTATCTATACAATCTTATGTAATCAGCTGTAACAGGAAGAAACATGCCAGGAGAAAATGTTACAAGGGTGGAGAATCGGATAGGTGAGTGAGTAAACTCTGCTGCAGGATGGTAAAACTTTGAAGGAATGGATTTAACATAATCACAACCAGACAAAAGAGCTGCATGAACAGTTGTGTGTGCTGATTCTCAAAACAAAACAAAATCCCAAGATATAAACTCTCTTTCCTACAGTGAAACTGGGAATTCTTCCAAGATGACTTAAAAATAACACTTACTGTTCAATTATCTTGTGGGGAAATAGTGATTATGTAGAGTTCCAAAACACAGCCAATTTGCCCACCTCCAGTGGAATTCAAAATACTTTGTTTAGTTAGTAAACAGTATTTATGGTGGTGTAGGTAGTTTAAACCCACAATCCAGGGGCTGTTATAAATATCTTCCTTTGGTCTGTGAGTCTATAAACTCTGCAAGTGTTCCTCTAATACTAGCGATTTCTCTAGAGATTATTGACAGAATGTACTTAAAATAGTAGGGCAAAACATGTTTTCTTTGATTCAACAAACGTTTATTGAAATCCTATGGGGCTGAAATTTTGCACAACTCCAGGGGATACCATTTCCATATAAAGAGTGTGCACTGGCCTTGTTAAGTATGCAGCCTGTGGGGCTGTACATGGTGGCTAGACCTACTATGTGCCAGACTTGATTCTAGGCGCTGGGGATTCGTCAATGAATAAGTCAGTCAAACATTTCTGGTCTCATGGAGCTGACATTCTAGTGGGGAAAAGATAGACAATAAATTTAATAAGTAAATAAAACATATCATGATGATGATCAGTACTTTATGGGAAAAAGGAGGATAGTAGTGTGGTGCGGAGGGTGTTATAATCTTTATTAGAAGGGTCAGAGAGGGCCTCACGGAAAAGTTGCTGTTTAAGCAAAGACTCGAAGGAGATGAAGGAGTAAACCATCAGACTCTGGTGGAAGAATACGAGGCTGTGGGAACAGCAAGTGCAAAAGCCCTGTGGTTGGACCACACTGTGTGAGGAAGAATGTGGGAGGAGATGCGGTCAGATTGGTAATGGGGCCAGATCCCATAAGATTGATATGAAATTCTAAGAACATGGCTTTGCCTCTGAGTGACATGAGAAAGCCATTGGAGGGTTTTTTAACACAGTAATGATGTGATCTGACATATTTCAGAAGGATTTTGAAGACTGCTTTGTTAAGAATTATTGCATTGGGCCAACGTGAAGCACTTCAGAGGCAAATACAAAATCCAGGCAAGAGGTGATGAGGGGTTCCTACAGGGCTGTGAGAAGTGATCTTATTTTAGATATATTTTGAAGGTAGGGCCATCAGGATTTCTTGAGAGGTTAGTTTTTAAATACACACACCCACACCCACACTCGTGCAAACACGCACACACACGGAGTCAAGGATGATTCCAAGTTTTCTCTACCAAGAAACTAAAAGGAACCAAGTGGTCATGATCAGATAAGGGGGATACTCTCAGTAGAGCAAGATTTTGAGATAGAATGAGCTCAAGAGCTCAGTGTGAGGTATTTTAAGTTTGAGATCTCTATCAGACATCCAAGGGGATATTTTACTTAGGATTAGAAGCCTATTGTATATAACACATTAATGTAAGAAATTTCAAAGTCTATAGTATATAAATATAAATATTGTTCCTTACATTGTTTAGTTCCAAGCCACTGACGACACAAGGGTTCTGGTGAGTTCTATATAGCTACTTGCTTCCTGCTTGTAATGTAAAAGGAGTTTATGATGCAAAGAAATCACCTGGGAAGACTTCAAGTCTCCAGGAAGGAGGAAGACAGGTAAAGGGAGTTCATTTTTAGCTCCTGGTTGGGAAATACTGTTGTTATAAATTTAATAGTTAAACCCTTTGGCATGTGTTGAAAGGAAATTTTAGTTTCTAAGCTTCATTATGCTACCTCAGACTCCTTTGGCTGCCAGATTGCTTCCTTAAATAGGGGATGGTTAAACCCTCAAGGTCTTTCAGTTCCCTGATGTGGTGGATGTGGAGTCCACCAGCCTCATTATTGCTAAAACATCTTAAGCCTATTCTGTTTCATAAAAAGCCTGGAAATTAGCTTTTGTACTGTAAACAGATGAATCAAATAAAAGCTGATTCTGTTATGTTGACTCACCCAACATGCAGTTTCCTAAAGTTAAAATCTTTTGATTTTAATATACCAGTATATCATATATATAAATATATATTTATATATAGCTGATATATTCAATTTAAAGCCTTATGATGATATAAATTCCACATTCTTCGAAGGGAAGGAACGATTTTTAAGACCACCACATTTTTCCAAATCAAAGCCCATGAGTTAGTACCTTTCAACAAGGTGCTTAGGCAGATGGTTGTTTTATCAATGATAAAATTTGGAAAAGCAACATTTATAAAGTACTTTTTGTGTACAC